ACTATTTGTCCATATTGGCTTCAAACCGCAATCCTCTTGATTTCCACCTCCTAATAACTAGGATTATAGCCATTAGCCACCATGGTCTGGCCAAAATGTGTAATTTCGAATTGTGACAAATTATGATTAAAAAACAGGGAGCTGTGAGAAAAATACAACAGGGTACTCAACCTAGCCTGGGCAACTGGGGATACCCTTCTTTGCATTGCGATCTAAAGGATCAGTGGGACCCAGAAAAGAATGGGAGGCATGCCAGGTGGCAAGAACAAACTGTACACATCCTGAGGCAGGGGTAACAATGTAGTAACAGGTCAACTGTAAAGATAATGCAGCAAACCAAGTGAGCAAAGAGAAAGAAGGCCTCAGAAGAGAATGGAGACACAGGCTGGAGCTATCAGAGAGGACACCACCAACTCACAGATACTAAGATCAATGGTGAACCATTGGTTTTATGTAGAGTGATACCATCCTATTAACAATTTTTACAGATTACTCTGGAAATTAATGGGGAGGTACCAGGAAAGAAGGGATACTGGCAGGAGGTTAATATCATTTCTAGCAACAGGCGATGTTACCTTTACAGTACAGTCAGTCCTCAATCTTCTAAATACCAACTTATCTATTAAATACTGTACTAGCAACTTTTGGTCCCAGGATACCATTTCACAAATTCACGACCTTAAGAGTTTCATTTAGGAAGGTTATGCCTATTGATATCAACTGTACCAGAAATTAAAACTGAAAACCCCTTCTAAAATACTAATTTAAAAATAAACCTATTATGTGTTAATATAAATATTCTTCTGAAAAATAGCTACATTGTCCTAGTAACAAGAGCAGCACTATTTTAAATTGTGGCGAATCACTTTAGTCTAATAGATGACAGGTTTTTCTATCTGTTGCAATATACCATATCATAAAGTTTCTGCCAAAGTGCACTGCTCACTTTTGTTGAGAATTAGACTAAAAAACACAAATAACATCTCAGAATTCTTATAAAAAATAGTTTGATCTCATGGTCTTCCTAAAATTGTATTAGGGAGCTCCAGACTACAGTAAGAATTACTGCTCAGGTACCAATAATGAGTGAGGTAATTACAATGAGATGCCACTAAGATGGATATAATCAAAAAGACAGAGAATAACTGTCTATATTAACTGGAATCCTCAAGCATTGTTTGTGATAAAAATGGTGCAGTCACTTTGGAAAACAATTTAGTAGTTACTCAAAAACTCAGAGAGAACTACCATGTTACCCAGCAATTCCACTCCTAGGTATACACCCAAGAAAAACAAAACCCTATGTCTACACAAAAACTTATGCACGAGTGTTCACAGAGGCATTATTTATAATAGCCAAAACACAGAAATAACCAAATGTCCATCAAGTGATAGAAAAATAAAATATGGCATATATCTATACAATGGAATGTTAACTGGCAATAAAAACGAAGTATTACTATAGCCTACAATGTGGATAAGGCCCCAAAACATTATAGTGGTGGTACATGCCTGTAATCCCAGCACTGGGGAGGCTGAGAGAGGAGGATAGCAAATTCCAGGCCAGCCTAGACTGTGCTGGGAGACCCTGCCTCAAAAAACAAAATAAGCAACAACAGAAATAGACTATGTGAAAGACGACAGTCACAAAAGATTGTATGATTCCTTTTATTAAAAAATATCCAGGAATAGGCAATTATAGACAAAAAATCAGATCAGCAGTTCCCTAGGGGGTAAGGAAAGAATTGGGGGGACTGCTAAAGGGTATACAGCTTCTTTTGGAGGTGATGAAAGTGTCTGAAAATTTATTGTGGTGATAGTTGCACAATCCTGTGAATGACATTAATTGTAGACTTTCAAAGGGTGAACTGAATTATATGTAAATACTTAAGATACGCTACTTTAAAAAAAGCTAAGTAACCTCTGCTAATCAGAATCATTAAATATTGTTTTTTGCCAATTCGTTAGAATAACAAGCATGAAAACACTCATCTCAGGGACATTTTTTTCTTTAGATAAACCCTGTAATACTGATTCAACCCAACATCCCGTGTAAGATACTGTCCAATAGAAATATAAGCCACACAAGTAATTTTAAACATTCAACCAGCCATACTGAAAAAGTAAAGAGAATGTGCAAGTAGCTCAATGGTGGAGCACTTGCTTAGCACACAGGAGGTCCTTGGTTCAATCTGCACACACACAAAGTAAAAGAAGTCAAATTAGCTCTAATTAATCCACTAGGTGCAAAATATTACTTCAACAGGTAATACTTCTAAAATCTATTAAGAAATTATTTTTGTCATACAAAATTCCCCAAATCTGGTGTGTAGTTTACCCTTACAACACATCTCAATTCAGTCCAAACACATTTCAAGGGCTCACTAACCACATGTGGCTGAGGTATCAAAACTGACAGTGTATTCTAGATCCACTCTACCAGTATGAAGTAAATGTTATTTGTGATGACCCTGAAGTACTACAATTTCCCTTATCACAGGCTCAATTAAATTTCATACAATATTTATATCACAATTAAGTATATTAGTATTTTTCCAAAAGTTCCAAATGATATTTATTAAAACTAGAGTAGAACTGCCTGAACATTTCAAATAACTGTATTTTAAAATTTTTACAGTTATCTAGAGAGCAACAACATCCCAAGACAAGCTAGTTAAAAGTTATATGGAAGCTCCCCTCCATTCTATCTCTCCTTTATACACACACACACACACACACACACACACACACACAAGCCCCTCTCCACTCTTAGTTTTGTTTGTTTCAGGTTTTTTTTTTTTGGCTGTACTGGGCTTTGAACTCAGGAGCTACTACTTGCTAGGCAGGTGCTCTACCACAAACAGTTTAATGTCTTCAGGTTTGTGATGCAGTTGTGAGCTTTGAATTTTTATCATGTCTTCTACTTCAACAGAAAATGGTCAATACTTTAAAAATTAACTGCCATCAGAAAAAAGTTACCTCAGAAAGGCTTTAATTTTATCTATTAAAATTCATTTTAGTTACAGTAGAATAAAAAAGTTCCACAGAATTTAAAATTCTAACTTTGCTATCACAAAAAACATCTTCACAGACACCTAGATGATTTTTTTTCTATTTATAAAATATTATTTCTAATCTTTTGCAGTAAAATGCAGAAAGCAGTCAAAATGATGAAGGCCTAAACTAGAAATCCCAGAAAGACCCAAGGCCTTCTAAAGTTAATATGGCTACACTCACTAAAATAGCTAAAATTAGAGAAGACTGATAATTTAAATGTAAGGATGGAGAGCAACGAGAACACCCATACATCACTGTTGGACTTATAAAGGAGTATATTTTAATACATAGTTTCTTTTAAAACTAAGCATAGAGCTGCCCTATCACCTAGTCATTCCACTAAGTATTTGACCACAGAGATAAAAATGTATGTTCCCAAAATAACCTGTACGAGACTACTCACAGTAACTAGCTGGAAACAGACGACCTCAACAGTGAATAAATTATGGTATATTAAGGCTGCGGAAAACTATACAACAATAAAAGAGAAGTACCAGGCCTGTGCCAGTGGTATGGCACTTGCCTAGCATGCAAGTCCCTGGGTTAGATCTCCAGTAGGAGGAAGTGTGAGGTATGACCATACACAAGGATGAAATGTCAAAAATATGCTGCGTGGGGTGGGGTGGGGGGAGGAATACCCTTATCCTAAAGAGTACATACTATATGACCTTGCCTGTGTTCTTCAACAGGTAAACCTAATCTGATGAAAAAAATCACAATGGGAGTGACTGAACTAGGGAAAGCCAAGAGAGCAACTTTTTAAGTCAATTATAATATTCTGCAACTTAATGGCTTGGATGACACTGGCTTAAACATTTATGAAAACAAAAAAGTGTTCCCTGTACAATTCTTGCAACTTCCGATGTTAAAAAATATAAAAACATCAAGAGAAAGTTTTATAAGAGCGTTAGGGAACAAAGAGTGATGATTCAGTTGGTGATAAGTTTCTCTCAACTGATGCTACACACCGTCCACCTTCACAAAACACCTTTGGAACTAGATAAAGCATGAGGAAACTTAAAGGCACATGTTATTGTTAATTGCTTCCTGGCATAAACTGTTCACACTGAGATAGTTTGAGAACAATTCAATAATTATTGAAAATATTCCAGGATGTATTCAATAAACTAAAAATTTCTGCAAAATTTCTTTTCCTGAACAGACTTTAAGCAGTCAATTACTTGATAAGAGTTTCCATTATACCAATTTTATTTTCTTTTATTAAGTTGCAGCCGCTAACATCCAAGTAACGTCTCTATCATCCCTCTAAAGTCAAACAAAAACCCACCCAATGACTGGCATCTGAAAGATGATAAATATACTACTAAAAAAAACAAGCTAGTCATCAATGAATAAAAGTCACTCACTTTTCTCCTTAAGCCTAGTACTATTATGTGGCTGAAAATAATTCCTACGCCACAGTTCATTTTTTAAATAAAGACTGGAAACATTCAGAACGCAGAATTAAATGCACACGTGCACTTCACCCCAAGATTTGCCTCACCCGCGGCAGGTAAACAATGAGCACACCCCCACTTTTTCTCTTACGACAACCAGCCCGCAGCCTTGTTTGACGCGACCCTCGCCCCGCCCGGACTCAGGCTGTGGCCGGGTCCCTTCCCTTTGTGAGCAGCTGAAGGGAGGTGGCTGGAGGCGGGGAGGCCGGCAGGTGGGGAGGCGGGGAGCGGGCAGGGGTCCCCGACACCCAAGGGCTCGGAGCCAGGCGGCAGCAGCGTGGCCTGCGCGACCCCGCCACAACCTCTGCGATGTCCACGGGGAAAACCCCGATCTTGGGCGTCATCTAATTCGGGACGAGATTCAGGAAAACAGCCGAGGGCACCTCCAGGGACGACTCTCTCCCAGGTCTTTCCAAAACGTCTCCTCCGGCCGTGGGCGGAGGTCCCGCCGTCACTCCCACCCTGGCCCGAGCCCAGGCAGCTCACCTGCTGGACGGAGCTGTTCTCGGGTACGGCGAACTCTTCCTTCTCCTTCGGGGTCTTCACGGTGACTTTCATGATCTTGGGCTCTGCAGAGGCAGCGGGAGCGCCAGCACCATCAGCCGCGGCGGCGCTGTCCTGGGAGCCCGGAGGGCCGCCGCTTTCACCACTCTCGGCCATGGCGGCGGCGGCGGCGGTGACTCAGGCGAGAAGGAACTGGCGAAGGAGAAGTCAGGAGACGCCAGAGCCGACGGGCCCGGGCAGCGAAGAATGCAGGGCACAATGCCTAAGAAGCAACGGGTGCAGGGCCGTCGAGAAGCGGCGGACCTCGGCGTGGGCTCCAGGCAAAGGCCCGCGTCGGGCGCTCAGCAGCCGCCGTGTGTTCAGACGCAGATCGTTCGCAGCGACATCCGCAACCGCCGCCACCGCCGCTTCCTCCTCCCGCCCCTCCCCCCACGTCCCTCCGCTGGCGCCGCGCGGAGCACGCCGGGTAAAGCGACTAGCGGCGTCGCCGAGTCATCCCCTCTTGGGGCAGCTTCGTGCTCAGTTTGCGTCCCTTTTTCTTTCAGCCCATTGCCAAAAATGTAGGCTCATCCAGCGTAAAGGACTAAAAGCAAAGTGAAGCAGGATAAATAGGTTCTTTTTTTTTCCTCTCTACCGTCACCAAAAAATAGACTCCTGGGAAGCGCTGTGGCGGCACACCTTGATGACGTCACGATCAGCGAAATTACTAGAAAGGGACTTCACCACTCGGCGCCGCGCAGCGAACACGCCTGCGCTCTCGCCGTCCAGGTAGTTTTCCCCCTTACCTCATGCTTGGCTCGGGTGAGGTCGACCCTTCTCTGGCTTGCGTTTTTTTGACTCTGGGTGCCGCGCACGGTCCACCTGGAGAAGGGTTTGCTGATAAAATAGCGACAAGGTAGTTTCTTACTATTTTAATACGCGTAGTGTTTGCCTACTAGGAAGGCTTACAGTGTTTGTTTCTACTACCCTGTGCGCGGGAGTTGGAAAGATGAGTGCAGGAGAAAGGTCCTCACAACGAAAGGAAAGTGCAGTCAACGCCCGAGCGGCTCTGCGCCCCTGCGCAATCTCACGGAGTCATTGCCCAGGACCGGAGTGACCGCCCTCGGGTGGACCGGTTTGGTCAGAAGATCTGGCGGCCCGCGTTGTCTGTTGACAGCCATGTGCGAGCGCCCCGGTCTCTGAACCACTGTCTCCCTAAATGAGTCCATCCAACCGGGACAGTTTAGTAGAGCCGAGGGGTTCATTTTGTATTCTATCAAATGACGTTACTGCATCTTGTCACACTTGAGGTGGCATCTAGGATAGTTGTAAGGTATTTTCAGCTTAATGAAGATACAGATGAGAAACAGGAAATTAACTTTTACTTTCGAATTCTACATTTTAAAAGACTTCAGCGTTTGTTTTTAAAGATGACGGGGTGAGTTCAACTATGATATATTGTAAGAAATTTTGTAAATGTCGCAATGTACCCCCAGTACAGTAATGACAAAAAATAAATTAAAAAACAAAAAGGTCATTACCAAAAATAAAATTTGCAAGGAATATGCAACCCACTACATTATGTTAATCAGTATTGCACAAATATAAACCCTGACAGCCCACTGTGACCCAAACATGCAGAGACGTTCATATCTTTGCTCGTAAGCCATTCGACAGTGTTGCATAAACACTACTTTTTAACCAGAGTTCTTTAGAATCTGGGTCAAAGAGTTCTGAAGACATAAATTGCAATATAGACATTAATTGGTATCACCTAAATTTCTGCCAGTATTGTTCAGTAGCATGAACAATGCCTAAGGCTGCCTCCTTTGCCTACAATTACTTTCCCCTTGCTTTCACCTGCCTAACTTCTTTTCCTATATCATGTTCCCCAGAAAGACTTCACTTGCTGCCTTTTAGAGACCTGATGTTTTTCTTTGTGCTCCAAAAAATGCCCTGAATATATCTCTAACCATGCACTTACAGAATTGCTTTTATGTGTCTACGTTAATATCTAAAATTTTCCCATGTATATGACAATTTATTAAGTAATATAATTTATCTGTAAGAAGACACAGTAGAGTTAATTATCTTTTTTGTTTTGTGGTACTGGGGTTTGGACTTGGCCTTGTGCTTTTGAGGCAGAAATTACCTTTTTTTTTTTTTTGCAGCTCTGGAGTTTGAACTCAGGATCTACACCCTGAGCCACTTCACCAGCCCTTTTTTGTGATGGGTTTTTTCCAGAAAAGGAAAACAGTTTGCCCAACCTGGCTTCAAACTGTGATCTCCTGATCTCTGCCAGATGTGTTGTTAGGATTATAGGCATGGGCCACCAGGTCAGTCTTGTAGACATAGTCCTAACCTGTAAGGGACCATTGCGGGGAGTGACATGCTCTAGATTAGGGATCTGCCAACTTTCTGCAGGAGCTAGATTGCAAATATTTTGGACTCTGTGGGCCATAAGATCTCTGTCCAAAATATTCAGTTCTGCCCTTGTGCCACAAAGCAACTGTAGACAATACATACATGAATAAGTCTGGCTGCATTTATGAAAACTTTATTTATGAAACAAAACAGGCATAAGATCTGATTTGGCTGACCCCTGGTTTACATGTCTATTTGAGGAGGCATTTTTTTTCTGAATGGTTTTTGTTTATTGTATGGTTGATCTGGATATAATTATAAGAACATATTTCATCCATTCTACAGACATTAATTAAGCACAATTAATGTCCAATACTGAATGGAGGATACAAAGGCAAGACTCAGTCTCTGCTCTCAAGTAAGTTAGAGGATAGTTGGGTGTGGGAGTGCAGAGGTGGGAGCAAATATAAACATTTAATACTCAATTCTGCAGAAAATAAGCTTTGATTTATAGCATTTGCAAGTTTTCTTTATGTAAATGCACGCAAATGGCCAATTCATACTGCCAACTTGAGGTCACCTGGTTCACAGAATACCTGAAATTTTACCATTCAGCTGTCACAAGCCAGTATGAGCCGGCTCCAAGTGATAGGTTGGAGAAAATCCAACCAATGAATTTTTTAAGAAAATCCATTATTCAGACTTCAAGTATATTGGTAAGTAGTTATTATTCACATCGTGGAAGAATGTTTCCTTGATGAAATGATTCAATCAACAAGAATTTTTTGTGTACCATACTTTGGCAAACTTTAATCCTGTGTCTAGAAATTAACCTGACTCCAATTGACAAAGTAGCACACATGTCAATTAAGTGTTATAAGTAACATGTATTCATCATGCTACTTCCCTACTCAAAATCTATAATAACCTCCTCTCTTCCTGGAAGACAAAGCCCAAGTATCTCACTGTGAACTCAAAATCTTGCACAACTAACTCCTGGTCTGTCTTTCATTATGCTATAGATGCATTCTATTCAAGTCGAACAGGTTTATTGTCAGCTCTAGAATCAATTGTATTTTACACTCCTCTCACCTCTTCAGATAATTACAGCCCTACCTTGTACTCATTCCTATCTCCTCTGTAAAATCTTCCTTGAGAACCCAATTCTGCAGAAGCATTTGTTTCCTCTGACCTTTCACCATAATTATCTGCAGGTTTACTTGACAATTCATCACTTGTAGCATAGCCTTTGTTATCTTAAACTGTTTCTTTTGCAGCCACACAGGTCTAACTCATACCCTTGTTAACTCTGACCTAGATTACAGCGATAACATACAGATTCCTCTGCCTCAGTCTAAAGGCTCATCTATTCTCTAGTGATAACATGTTATCCTACAACTAAGTTAGGGTCTTGGCACTTAACTTGAGATTTTTCAGCGCTCTCACCAAAGTTTTAGAATAATGTTTATTCTGGATCTTCTGACCAGAAGATTTTGCTCAACCAAACCAATCAACAAAAACTCTCTAAGCATAACCTATACTCCCCTTCAACAACATTTACTCCAAGTAGAAATTCTACCTCCTTATTTTGGCCCCATTAGTTTACCTGTCCTACAAGACTCAGTTAAAATGTGACTTTCTCTGACAGTTTTCTCATGACAAACTGTTTTTTCAAATCATATATCCTCTAGACCCTGTGTATTCCAGTATACCCCTATTACCTTTTGATGTCACTGCATTCTGTCTTGTACTTAACTTGTGTGTGTCTACTTTATTAAACAAGGTCCTTGAAAGTAAGGGTCAAAAAAATATATCATTTATACCACACAGTGCCCAGCCTAATTTCTTAGCTTGAAGATATTTGCTGCTGAACTGAATTGTTGAACTGTCTTTTTTTCCACTAGTGAGGAAACTCATTGAGAGCAGTAGATCATATTTTTTATTCCTTTGTCCCTCCCAAGTTTATAGCATAATGAGATATAGATAGATAGATAGATAGATAGATGTTAGACCACTGGGTAGAATGTCCAAATACATCTATGGCCAACACAGATTTTGAATAAAAGTTACTGAGTAAGATCCCACATTCTTTTGGTTTTTGCTATCCTTTGAATATGGTTTGTCTCCTCTGAAACTCGTGTTGAAATTGGATTTACATTGTGCTAATATTGGGAGGTAGAGCTTATACAAAATGATTTACGTTAGTAAGAGGAATTAATGGCTTTCTCAAGGGCCTGCTTTAACTGTCACTGATGTGAGTTCTTGCTTTTTTAGTACTGGAGTATTTATCACTAGAGCATGTTACAAAGACCACTCCTTGGGTTTTCTTTCTTCTGTATGCACCTTCTGCTTTTCCACTGTGTTGTGAGCCAGCAAAAGGCCCTTGTCAGGTTGCAACTGCCTGGTCTTGGACTTTCAGACTTTAGAACTATGACATAAATAAACCCTTTTCCTTTATAAGTTACTCAGCCCCACATATTCTGTTATGGCAACATAAAAAAGACAGAAGCAAAGTCAGCAGCAGCACAAAATAAGAAGTGTAGCCAGCCTGTCTGAAAAACACAGCTGGGAAGCTTATTAGGTCCAGTCTTACTATTTATTTTTTATTTTGATTTTGAAATAGACTCATGGGAAGTTAAAGAGTCCTGGGTACCCTTTATCCAACTTCCCCTAATTGATGACATCTTAAATCATGGTTGCCTAATATAAACACCAGGAAATGGACGTGTCAACTAGATTACAGAGTTTATTCAGTTTTGACCATATTTTTAACCTGTATTAATTTGTATTAATAAAATTTGTTAAAAATTACATTTTTAACCTGTATTAACATGTATGGTGTATATGGTACAGATCTATGCAGCTTTTACACAATGCTTAGATTCATCTACCTACCACCACAGTCAAGATACAGAACTATTCCTTACTATTCTCATTATTTTTTATTCTTCCTGTAGAGCAAGGTTTCTTTTTTTTTCTTTTATTATTCATATGTGCATACAAGTCTTGGGTCATTTCTCCCACCTGTCCCCACCCCCTCCCTTACCACCCACTCCGCCCCCTCCCTCTTCCCCCTACCCCCTCAATACCCAGCAGAAACTATTTTGCCCTTATCTCTAATTTTGTTGTAGAGAGAGTATAAGCAATAATAGGAAGGAACAAGGGTTTTTGCTGGTTGAGATAAGGATAGCTATACAGGGCATTGACTCACATTGATTTCCTGTGTGTGTGTGTTACCTTCTAGGTTAATTCTTTTTGATCTAAACTTTTCTCTAGTTCCTGGTCCCCTTTTCCTATTGGCCT